TGGGTTAAAGCCTCTGCCTTCGGCTCAGGTCATGATCCCAGGGTCCTGGGATCAAGCCCCGCATTGGGCTCTCTGCTCAGCGGTGAGCCTGCTTCCTCCTCTGTCTCTGCCTGCCTCTCTGCCCACTTGCGATCTCTATCAAATAAATAAATAAAATCTTAAAAAAAAAAAAAAAAAGCTGAGAAGGAAATAATATATGTGACAAGTATCAAGTCTCTAGCATTCTTCCCAAGCTTTAGTGAGAAGTGGGCTATCAGTGGTAGATGGGATGATAATCACAGGTTACTGGGAGTCAGAATACAGAGATCCGAACACTGAGCCTGCAACTTATGATGTCAAGTTAGACAAACTGCTTAACCTAAGATTCAAATCCCTTATAAACAGCAGGTTGAATTTAAAATTCCTACTTTGCAGGATAGAAATCCAGATAAATAAATCATATATGACTGAATATGTTTGGTAAACTATAATTTTCATATATGACTAGTTATTTTCACAGATGGTTAAAGAGTTAAAATTTTAAATTAAAGAACATCGAAAACCATGCAGGCCAAGTACTCGTAGAAATAAGGTACCAATGTTCTAAACATGCAAAAACTGAAGAATAATTTAAACTTATGGAGTGGTATGGACATTTTTTTGGTAACACATTATTACATTAGCCCATTCCTTTATTTCTATGCTTTTTAGACATTTTTGAAAATGCTTTGGTTCATAAAATGATACCTAAGTTTCCACCATCTTAAATGGACTTTAGATTTAAGCATCTAAAAGCCTTAGGTAAGACTCCTGGAAGGTTAATATGAGAGGAGAAATGAAGTTCAAATAAAAGGAAGTAATTTTTCTAAGATGAATGAGGAATCAGCTAGGAAAAATCTCCATCTTAAGCATAAACTTACAATGACTTGATGAGTTATAAAATTTTAAATTTCTTATGCATTTTCTCCTTTTAGATGAGTATGTTTTGATTTTTAATAAAATAGAAGTTTTCATTTAAAAGACAAGTTGAGTGTGTATCCTGTTGGCATTTTCACCTACACATTATATGACAACTGTCCAAAATAATTTATCTACTTTAGCTTCATGTTCCATTCCATATCCTGTTCCTAAATAGCCTTAAACTTAAGTCAACTATCAGCTCCAACAATTTAAGTCAGACATATTTTATGAATGAATAAGAAAAGTAAACTTGGGTCTAGAGATGATTTTAAGTTTTACATACTGGAAAGCCTCTGACTTTACCTTCCTACAGGTATGTGTCAGCTTTCATTTGCCCCCAAAATGAAAGCAGTTATCCATATAATTCCCCTAGTGCCCCTTCAGGGGTAATGTAATCTTACTGTTGCAAATTTGCTAAAATACTTTGCTTTTCTTTTATACTATAACCAACACAAAAAAAATGACTCTTCCTAAGTGACATTAACTCCAAGTTCTGGTTTGGTGCCAAATGGAGTTAGCCCACCTGCCAATTATGTCTGACTGAAGTCGTAACTACAAGGGGCACTGAAATAAGGTAGTACTATAAAACCCAATCAGCCAGAGAGAAGGGCACCAGCAGGAAAGGGCAGATAAATCTCTTTCCTCAAGTTAAATTGACCTGGTTGCCACGTCTGCTAATCAATCCTAAATACACAGTTCCCAGGCAGGAAACCATTTCATTTGTCATTTATTGAAGGAGGCTCCCCCTGGCTGGGTTCCAAGTCAACAGGAACTCACAAATCTCTCTCCCGGAACTGTGTTTCCTGGTTCAGGCTGTTTCTGAATAGAATCAGATCCTGTGGCTAAGCAATCAGTAAGCTAAACAATCATGGAGACCAGAGGCTTATCAAAGCAAAGTTGTGATGACCTACTCTTAGCTCTTTATTCTTTTCAAAATGAGTCAATAAAATCTGATATGATAATAATCCAGGGCAAAGGGCATGATGCTTCCTCCCAGAAGGATCAGAAAGAGTAGAAATCAATTACCTAGAAATATTTCCAGAAGAAGTTAGAGCTAAATTTATGTTTGAGAGAACTGGTTAGATTGAGAGAAGTATGAAGATATAGAAGAATATATTAGGATAGAAAAGTGGCATTAACAATTATACGGAAGAGGAAATGTGAATGTTAAGTCTTGAGACAAGTAACTTGGCTGGAATAAAAATGTATGTAAAAAGAAAAACAGAAGGGGCGCCTGGGTGGCTCAGTGGGTTAAGCCACTGCCTTCGGCTCAGGTCATGATCTCAGGGTCCTGGGATCAAGCCCCGCATCGGGCTCTCTGCTCAGCAGGGAGCCTGCTTCCTCCTCTCTCTCTGCCTGCTTGTGATCTCTCTCTGTCAAATAAATAAATAAAATCTTAAAAAAAAAAAAAAAAGAAAAAGAAAAAGAAAAACAGAAGATATGACATTAAGTTTCTAGCTATAAAACCTGAAAGGGAAAACTCGGGATTCGGGACAAAGGATGGGTAGACTAGCAGATGAATTATCTATCTTGAAGGACTTTTTGGTTATGATGATTTAGTGGACCACTCTACATTTTTCATATGATAAAAGTAGGTGTCAGCAATTTTATGGAGGCTTTACTCTACATCTTCATTAATTCACCCCCTCTTCAATCCCACTGGAGGACTGGGGCTAGCTATACTCTGCCTATCTCTTGTTTCCTGTGGCACGAAGTGACCAAACTAAGTTTATGAACAGAGACATGGCTGACTACAACCACAGAAAAAAGAAAAAAGATGGAGGGTTGGGAGGAAGAGGGAGGTAGGTTCTCTGTACTCATGAACCCTTCCTCTCATATTTCAGATCTAGGTAGGTTTTACAAAGCAGCAGAGCAGACAGTCTTAAAACCCCAAACATCAACCTAGCTGCTTGTCTTTCCACCGCTTTACTGAATTTGGTCCTCAGGGCTTTTCTATTTTCTATCTTTCTTTCTTTCTTTTTTTTTTTAAAGATTTCACTTAACCTACTGACAGAGAGAGAAATCACAAGTAGGCAGAGAGAGGAGGAAGCAGGCTCCCCGCTGAGCAGAGAGCCCGACGTGGGACTCGATCCTAGGACCCTGAGATCACGACCTGAGCCGAAGGCAGAGGTTCAACCCACAGAGCCACGCAGGCATCCCAGGGCTTTTCTATTTTCAAAAAAGTTCCTTATAAAATACAAATACTGGGAAGGAGTTAGGGTTTCAGTATTAGTTAACACCTTAATATATGATAGTTAAAAGAGCTTCAGTGTTTGCGGCGCCTTGGGTGGCTCAGTGGGTTGAGCCTCTGCCTTCGGCTCAGGTCATGATCCCAGGGTGCTGGGATCGAGCCCCGCATCAGGCTCTCTGCTCAGCGGGGAGCCTGCTTCCTCCTCTCTCTCTGCCTGCCTCTCTGCCTCCTTGTGATCTCTCTCTCTGTCCAATAAATAAATAAAATCTTTAAAAAAAAAAAAAAAACAGCTTCAGTGTTCAAAAACATTAGAATACACTTCTCCCCCCCAAAGGTTCTATAATCAAATACACTTGGGAAACAGCATGATATATAGCTTCCTCTTGTAGATTTGCAGTGCACATCAGCATTGGAAAAGCACTGAAGAAGTCCAGTAGTCAGGGGCGCCTGGGTGGCTCAGTGGGTTAAGCCTCTGCCTTCAGCTCAGGTCATGATCTCAGGGTCCTGGAATCAAGCCCCTCGCATCAGGCTCTCTGCTCAGCAGGAGCCTGCTTCCCGCCACCCACGCCCCCGCCAGCTGCCTGCCTCTCTGCCTACTTGTGATCTCTGTTTGTCAAATAAATAAATAAAATCTTAAAAAAAAAAAAAAAAAAAAAAAAGGGCACCTGGGTGGCTCAATGGGTTAGAGCCTCTGCCTTTGGCTCAGGTCATGATCCCAGGGTCCTGGGATGGAGCCCCGCATAGGGCTCTCTGCTCAGCAGGGGGCCTGCTTCCCTTCCTCTCTTTCTGCTTACCTCTCTGACTACCTCTCTGCCTGTCAAATGAATAAAATTAAAAAAAAAAAAAAAAAGTCCATAGTCACATGTTTTAAAAAGTACTTTAAAGTCTCTTTAACTACCAAACCCTATTTCCCCTACAAAAGCATATTAATATATTTTAAGATATGACTATTTTTTAGAACACAGCTTGAAAAGCACAAAATTAAAACAAGTCAATGACTAGTAATAAGGCACAGAAGAGACAATTTGGACAGGCTGCATTAGGAAGGATGACAGGAGGAAGGAAAGCAAAAACAGATCTTTTCTACTTCGTAACTTTGTTCAAAAACATCATGTCAGGGGCGCCTGGGTGGCTCAGTGGGTTAAAGCCTCTGCCTTCGGCTCAGGTCATGATCCCAGTGTCCTGGGATCGAGCCCCGCATCGGGCTCTTTGCTCGGCAGGGAGCCTGCTTCCTCCTCTCTCTCTACCTGCCTCTCTGCCTACTTGTAATCTCTGACTGTCAAATAAATAAATAAAATCTTTAAAAACAAAAACAAAAACAAAAACAAACCATCATGTCATTGGGGCGCCTGGGTGACTCAGTGGGTTAGGCCTCTGCCTTCGGCTCAGGTTATGATCCCAGCGTCCTGGGATCGAGCCCCGCATCGGGCTTTCTGCTCAGTGGGGAGCCTGCTTCCCTCTCTCTCTGCCTGCCTCTCTGCCTACTTGTGATCTCTCTGTCGGATAAATGAGCAAAATCCTTAAAAACAAAAAAACAAACAAAAAACATGTCATTTGTTGCAGGTTCCTACAACAAGAGACAGACCCTAAAGTTAGGACACATGATCTATTCTGTAATTATTTGTCCCTTTCTGAACACTATCAACCTCAGGCCCATTCCTAGAACATGAGTTCTCTGTACCAGCCATTCCCGCACTGTGACCCAAAGGAGCTGAATGAAGGAGAAAGCTAAATATACCACTGGACTTCTAAGTTCCTCCCTACTATCTAGAACAGTTAAGAGTCAGGAATTAAAGAACCTGGCGAGTGGCTGAGCATCTTCGTAAGTGACCCTTTTTGTACCGTTGTGATCAAAGGCAACTTAACTTACCAGCTCTGCAACTCGGCAAAAGCTTGTTTCATTTTCTTAATGGAAGCATCCATCTCTTCTTTAACTACAACTCGATACCGTGCAAGAGATACTGTGCAGCGCTGGAGGTCTTTCACAGATTTTTCAATATTGGAACCTTGGGGAAAAAACCCCCAAGAATTAATACAAAAAAGGAGCACAGGTAACTTGAAAGATGAATATGGACACCCACGCATGTAACATAGCAAATGTTGGTGGACTAAGAATATTCCCTAAGGGGCCACACTCCTTGACAAAAAATTGATGTTTTCATAGATTAAAAACAAAGAACAAAAAAACAAAAAACAGTATTCCTGGCCAAGATGGAGTAATAGGAGTTGGGTTTATCCTCCTGTCTTAAACAACTAAACATATACACACAGAAAAAAACATATGAAACTTGGTTCTCATAAAACAGACATTAGGAAGTACTTTTTCCCTGAGAAAACAGAAACCTGAGGACTCTGGTTGCCCCACCTTACTGCCACAAGAGTTTCCAGGCTGCAGGGCAAGGAGGAGAAATCCTAATCCTGAATTGAGGGGGGAGAGTCGAGAACTGGGGAGGCCAAGGTGGGGAGAATTCTAAGGGCAGAATACTGGGGAGGAGAGAGGTACACAAAGGTGAGAAAACTGTAGAGATCTACAGAGGATTCTGAATGCATCAGTGTGAGGAAAACAACTGAGACAGGAAAAAGAACCAATGGAAAGGACAGGTAGAACAATCCCCAGACCTCACCCAGACCACAAACAGTTCTTGTTTACACCCACCAGAATGGGGGACCAATCGAGCACTTGGAAGGCTACTGCCTTTGTAATGAGGCAAAATTATCTCTAAAGGATACTCCAGTTCCACCTAACAAAGCTTAAAAGCAAGCCTCAGACTGTTACCAAATAATAGTCTCAAAACAAATCGTAAGAATAATTAAATAGGGCTCCTGCCTGGCTCCGCCTGCTAAACGTCTGGCTTCCGTTCAGGTCATGATCCCAGGGTCCTGGGATGGAGCCTGAAGTCCGGCTCCCTGCTCAGCAGGGAACCTGCTTCTCCTTCTCTCTTTGCCCCCTCCCCTTGCTTGTGCTCTCTCTCTTAAATAAATAAAATCTTAAAAAAAAAAAAAAGAAGAATACTTAGATAAAACACAAAAATATCTAGCAATCAAAAAGAAAAATTCACATGTCTGGCATCCAAGAAAAAATTACTAGGCATACAAAGAGGGGGACAAATATGACCCAGAGCGAAGAGAAAAATCAAAGAACAGAAGCAGATGCAGAGATGTCACAGATGTAGAATCAAGTAAACATGGACATCAAAACAGCTAATGTAATCAGATACCATATGGTGAAGAAGACAGAGGAAAACATAAACATGTTAAGGAGAGACATGGATGATACTTTAAAAAACCCCAACTGAACCTCTAGAGATGAAGAAAAGACAATGTCCGAGATGAAAAATACACTGGATGGAACTAACAGATTAGAAACTGTTAAAAAAAAAAAAAAAAAAAGATTAATGGATTTGAAGATAGCAACTTCAAAAACTATCCAAAATGAAATCAAACAAAGTAAGAAAAAACGCTAAAAAAATATTTGTATTTGAATATGCACCAAAGTTTCAAAACTAAGTGACAGGATTCAGTAGAATATAATTCACCATGTAGACACTGTAAAATTAATAAAACTCTCTCTGTGTAGTACAATTTGAAACATTATATGTGGATAAGCTGACTTTGTAGATAAAGATGAAATATATTTACCTACCCAACACATTCCAACCAGTTTCTAAGAGTTCTACTGACCTTTCTATATTCACCAATGTCAAAGTTATATGTACAATCGATAGGTGGAATCATGGATCTAAGTTTTTAATGTGCCAAGATACAGATTTTCCATTTTGTATTTAAATTCCTCTTGATTTCTTTCCAAATCTACTTAAAAGCTTTCCAGCCTCATCCTTTTCTTTTTGTTTGACTGAATATTTTTTGATGTGCTTTTCTGCACCAAGCTGAGTGTTATACTAGATTTAAAAGGAAAGCTTCACTAATTAAATTTAGTTCATGTGGAATTAAATAATTCAATGAAGAGCTACAGGTTACAAGTGTCTTTTACATTTCTGTTTCTTTGTGGAGTAGACCACCTTCCTTGCTTAAATGTGTGACACTCAGAGAGGCTGTCATCTCTACCAGTTTAATTACTGCCTGATTATTTAAATGATTATTACAGTTAAAAAAAAAAAAAAAAAAGCAAAGAGCTACCACCAGTCAATGCTGAGTACTTAAGAGAAAATGATCTTGTTTAAAGCTCAAGTCTGACAGATATTAACAAGAGCGTGAAGTTGTGAAGAGAAATGAAAATATATTTTTAAAATGTCATGTCAGAGATGGCAGTGCTTTTTACTGTTAAGTCAACCAGGAGATAAAAAAGAAGGAAACAGTACAAAGATGTTGCAGTAAAGCAAATAAACAAGTTAATGTTACCAGAAAAGTCATTCCTGACCAGTAGAGTTTGACTTTCATTCACTAAAAGGATCCCCGTCATTGTAACAAGACTGCACAACATCAAAAATACTATCAAACTCCAACTGTGCACACGGAGTTAGACAGGGGTAGTTACTGCCTAAAAAACAGAAAACGTATTACCTGCTACCATTCTGAGACCTTATTTGTGGGAACAAGGAGATGATCTGCCCTCACTAGCCAAAACCAGATCTTTTTGTTTTGTTTTCTCTCAAAGGTAGGCTTCTGATTTACCTAGCTTTTTGTTGGTGGAGGAGAGTGGAACATCTTCCATCCCCAGATTTGCAAACTGAGGTGCTGTGGTTGGTCGTGAAAGAGTTCTGGCAGCATTCCTATTTTGTTGAGAATTCTGAGTAGACTGCATAGTCAAAGACTTGGGCTCAAAATCAGAGATGCCATTCCCCAGCATGGACCCTGTCAAAGAAAGAGGCCAGTATTTTAGAGTAAAATTTAGGGGTATATCAGTCAAGCTGTCTTAAGTATAAACAAACAAGAAAGGTAAAAATGTTCCAGGCAGAACTATGCTTCTTAAAGGCCGTGAACGAAAACGACTGACAAAATAGAACAAAGAACAGAAGCAGTTGGAGCGTCTGGCTCAGCTCTAAGCTGTGTCCTGAATGAAGACAAGTCTGTGTTAACCCATTGTGAGATAAGCTAGCTTGTTCCCTGTATCTTGGTAGCTCTGGGCACAAGAAGTGCAGAGAGTCAATAGCACTAATTTCTGATAGCTTCTGTAAGTTATGTTAAGGAAAAAAGAGTTTTACACTGTTCCAGGGAACAAAGAATTTTAAAAGTTTTAGGAAAAGGGCAAAGAGGAAATAAGAGAAGAGCCAGCTCAGGAAAAAAAAAGGAAGCCACTGACTGCTTTTGCTTTGTTTGACGTCAGCATAGGTGCTGTATCTTTCTCTAAGTCTCTGCGCATGAGCAAACTCCTCAATAAAAGAACATCAAAGAAGTACAGGATAATTCTTAAATCGTCATTACATTAATAAGGTTAGCAGCAACAGAGCAAGGGGAAATGGATTAACAAACAAGTAATTAAAAACCAATTTTAAAAGAGATATTCCCGGGGCGCCTGGGTGGCTCAGTGGGTTGAGCTGCTGCCTTCGGCTCAGGTCGTGATCTCGGGGTCCTGGGATCGAGTCCCGCATCGGGCTCTCTGCTCAGCAGGGAGCCTGCTTCCCTCTCTCTCTCTCTGCCTGCCTCTCTGCCTACTTGTGAACTGTCTGTCAAATAAATAAATAAAATCTTTAAAAAAAAAAAAGAAAGAAAAAGAGAGATATTCCCCGGGCACTTGGGTGGCACAGCTGGTTAAGCATCTGGCTCTAGGTTTCGGCTCAGAGCCTGATATCAGGGTGAGGAGCTTGAGCCCCATGTTGGGCTCCATGCGCAGCACAGAGTCTGCTTAGCTATCTCTTTCCTGCTCCCTCTGCCCCTCTTCTAAGTGTGCATTCCCCCTCTCTCTCTCAAATAAATAAATCTTTAAAAAAAAAAATAAGGGGCGCCTGAGTGGCTCAGTGGGTTGAAGCCTCTGCTTTCAGCTCGGGTCATGGTCCCGGGATCCTGGGTTTGAGCACTGCATCAGGCTGGCTGCTCAGTGGGGAGCCTGCTTCCCCTCCTCTCTCTCTGCCTGCCTTTCTGCTGCTTGTGATCTCTGTCTGTAAAACAAATAAATCTTTAAAAAAAAATTAAAAAAGATATTTCCAATACCTTCCCAATATTCATCAAAATGGTTAATAAAACAAAATATGTGCAAGATATGTGAATTTACAACTAACACTAATCTTAAATCTTTACTAGAAAACAAATGTGGGGCTATAAAAGCCGACGGTCTACTGCTCATGAAAGCCATTGAATTACAATTATTATTATATATTCCTCACTGTGTTGAGTCTTAGAATAACACCATTGACATCAACTCATCATTTTCTTAGTAACTACACAATTAAAAAAAATTAAGGTCACCTTTTGTAATCTCTAACTACTAAGGGATTATTAAAATGGAAGATTTCCACAAGACTGACTTAAACTGGGCACCTGGGTGGTGGCTCAGTTGGTTAAGCGACTGCCTTTGGCTCAGGTCATGATCCTGGAATCCCGGGATTGAGTCCAGAATCAGGTCCCCTGCTTGGCAGGAAGTCTGCTTCTCCCTCTGACGTTTCCCCCCTCGTGCTTTCTCTCTCTTCCAGATGGATGAATAAAATCTTAAAAAAAAAAAGGCGGGAGGGCGCAAGGGTGGCTCAGTGGGTTGGAGCCTCTGCCTTCGGCTCAGGTCATGGTCCCAGGGTCCTCTCTGCTCAGCAGGGAGCCTGCTTCCCTTCCTCTCTCTCTGCCTGCCTCTCTGCCTACTTGTGATCTCTGTCTGCCAAATAAATAAACAGAAGTCTTTAAAAATAAAAAAAAGGACTGACTTAAAATTAAAATGAGACAATGAAATAAAAATTATATTTTTCTTTGCTTTTGATAATTACAGTTGACCCTTAAACAATGTGGGTATTGGGGCCCTAACCCCCCGACCGTCCCCTGCAGTTGCAAATCTATATATAACTTCGACTCTCCCTAAACTTAATAGCCTACTGTTGTTGACCAGAAGCCTTACCGATAACATAAACAGTTGATAAACACATATTTTATACTTTATATGTATTATATCCTGTATTCTTACAATAAAGTAAGCTAGAGAAAAGAAGATGCTATTAAGAAAATCATTAGGGCACATACTGCATGGAGCACTGGGTGTGGTGCATAAACAATGAATTCTGGTACACCGAAAAGAAATTAAAAAAAATTAAAAATTTTTTAAAAAAGGAAAATCATTAGGAAGAGAAAATATAATTCCAGTACTGTATTGTATTTTTTGGGAAAAAAAAAAATCCACATATAAGTGAACCCACACACCCATGTTGTTCAAGAATCAGCTGTACAAAATGTGACTCTTTCATATAAAAGGCAACAAAAACTAAAAAGTAAAAAGCTAAAATTGAATGTAATTTGACTGCTTTCTCAACCAGGAAGCCCTTGTATTTTTCAGCAGAATACAACTTTTCAAAGACCTGTTAATAAACTCACCTGTTCTATCCAGCATATCTGGTGTGGCAGACTCAGGATCTTCCAGTTCTCTGGCATCTATTGAAAGTGTCTCCATACCCTCACTGAGAGAGTCCACAGACTCAGTATCATTGATGGCGCCGTTGACATGGTAACCATTAATACCACCTTTCTCTGAAGAAGCCACAGACTGTTCCTCTTGAATGGAAACTGATTTACTGGAATCTGGGATACTGTTACTTGGTTCTGCTGAAGGCTTGGGTTTGCTTTTCTTCTTTTTGTTCTAATGATTATTAAAGATTTGGAAAAAAGAAAAGAAAAAGAAGACACCCCCACCCCCCCGGCCAACAATCCAGAGTGGTAACTCTAGTTACCAAAGATAGTCAATGTTACCAATTTCTCATATGCTCTTCCAGAAACTGAACACATTTTTGTCTATCTTAAGCTACTGACTAAAATAACTATGTAAAATGCCTTGGATGAACTCAAACACATAACTATAAAAAATTTATGTATGGTAAAACCTACCATAAGCAAAATCAAAACATAAATTTTAAAATGTGAAATACATGTCCAATGTATATACAAAACATTAAATGTATACAGAGGTCTAACAAAAACCAAAGAAAACAATAACCCAATAGAAAAAACTGGTATAGGACAGAAACTTATGTAATGAAGTGGAACCTCAGTCTAATAAGAGACAGAAATTAAAACTGCAGTGGAGAGGACTCTGGGAAGCTGACAGAGGAGGAAGCACCAGTAATCTGTCTTGGTAGACAACAATTACATGGTAGAATCTGTCTGATATAACTATTTTGGAACTCTGGAGTCTATTGAAGGCTTGTAATTTGCAGGTGAAGACCTGGACAGTAAATTGTGGTTAATTTCAGTTACTGTCAGCTCCTACTATAGAAGCAGTTCCCTTAGGGGACAGGCAGCTGTGCACCTGTTCTTGGAGCAGCTTGCACAAATTATGGGAGCCAGGGTAGACAAAGAGAACCCTGTCCTCCAAATATTGGGGACCTGTGCTCTAATCACTGATTGCTGCTTTTGATCACAGAAGTGCAGACAAAGGGGCAGGCATCATTGCTGTCGCACCTCCTCCCATTGTTCCAAGCCCCACCCTCTTTGGCTGAATGACTTCCAGGTGAATAGAAAGAGCAGTGCCCCAGGAAACTAACGATAATAAAAAATAAGCAAACCCTGAGGAAGGGGGAGAATCTGATTTCCAAAGTTACCACACTGTTAGATTCAAAGGTCCAGTTTTCAAAAAAAATCCCAAGGCACAAAAACCACACAAAAAACAAGTATGGTCTATTTAAAGGAAAAAACAAAAACAAAAACAAAAAACAGTCAACAGAAACTGCCCCTGAAAAAGATCTCTTGGCAGATACATTAAAGACTAAAATAACTGTCTTCCTCTTAACTGCTGGTCACCATCAGGGGGTGGGGAGGGGGAAGGGTGAAATGGCTGATGTGGATGAAGGAGGGCCCTTGTGATGAGCATGAGTGTTGTATGGAGTGTTGCATCACTATATTGTACACCTGAAACTAATATTACACTGCATGTTAACTAACTGGAATTTAAATAAAAACTTAAAAAAAAAATGAAATAATTCTCTTAAAGTTGCTCAAAAAAACTATAAGATGTAGAGAAAAATCAAGAAAACAAAGTATGAACAAAATGAAGAATCAATAAAGAGATAGGAAACCTAAAAGAAATTAATTAAGAAATACTGGAGCTGAAAAGTAGAGTAACTGAAATTTTAAAATTCACTGAAGAGAGTCAAGGGCAGATTTCATCAGATAAAAGAAAAAAAAAAAATCGGTGAACCTGAAGATGGGAGAATGGAAATTGTTGAGTCTGAGGAACAGAAAGAAAAAATACTGAAGAAAAGTGAACAGAGGGACGCCTGGCTGGCTTAGTCTGCAGAGCATGTGACCCTATCTCAGGGTCATGAGTTCAAGCCTTAAATCATGTGGAAGAGACTGTGTGGTACTCTACATACACAACTGTGTTTCGGTGTCACTGAAGACTTTTTAAACCAGAGGAAGTGAAGTCGCATATGTAAATCTTTTCTTTCAAATATTTTTGCAGGGCCTAAATTTTTTTAATAATACAAGTGCCAATATTAAGGTCTTAAATTTAAATAATTTTTACCTTTTTCTTGCCTGTTACTGTCCATTCTTTGAGTACTTCACTGGCACTACCTGTAAAAGAAACCAATTAACAGATTTTTTTCTCCTACCACATGCCTGGTCAACCAGGAATTAGTGTCCCTGCATTTTGTAATTGCTGGACAATTTCCAAAGTTCCTAATAGGGAAAGGTTAAAGTTCAAGTCTGAGCTAATGTAGTAAGACAATCACATTATACTTAAGGAATATCTCTCCATTTAGATCCCCCTTCTCCACGTAATTTCCTTGGTAAGTTCTTCTAAGAAGAGAGTAATGTAGCTTGAACATTTTGAAGATACTTTTATTTATAAAGTGTAGACCAAACACAAAGATAACTGGTTTTATTTTTATTTTTTTTTAAAGATTTTATTTATTTATTCGACAGAGAGCGATCACAAGTAGACGGAGAGGCAGGCAGAGAGAGAGAGAGAGGAGGAAGCAGGCTTCCTGCTAAGCAGAGAGCCTGATGTGGGACTCGATCCCAGGACCCTGAGATCATGACCCGAGCCGAAGGCAGCGGCTTAACACACTGAGCCACCCAGGCGCCCAGATAACTGGTTTTAGACCAAAGATGCTATGCCCTCCCCTCTAGAAGATCATGTACCACCTTGGCTATGCTGTTTTATTTTAGTTTTATTATTGTCTTTTATTTATTAAGATTTTATTTATTTATTTGACAGAAAGAGACACAGCAAGAGAGGGAACACAAACAGGAGGAGTGGGAGAGGGAGAAGCAGGCTTCCCGCTGAGCAGAAAGCCTGGTGGGGCTCCATCCCAGGACCATGGGACCACGACCTAAGCTGAAGGCAGATGCCTAACACTAAGCCACCCAGGCGCCCCAAGGCTATGTTGTTTTAGACAGAGCTATACACTGCCCTAGACCCAAATACCAACATTAAAATGAAAACAGCGATGATAAAGAAAAACCTTACTGTATTTGGGTCTGTTTCTTATACACTGAAAAATCCAGAAGAATAGAAACAGGAAGACCTAATTTGGCGCTGCTGTTCAATGAAGTAACAGCTGCAGGCCAAGTTTTTCTCAAACAAGTCATGTAGAAAGTTTATAAAACACTCGTCAACTCTGTAAACTGAAAGCTGAGCTAAACACACCATTCTTCTGTATGTTCAATAAGGAAACTGGGGCTCCTGGGTGGCTCAGTTGCTTAAGCATCTGCCTTCGGCTCAGGTAGAGATCCCAGGGTGCTGGGATTGAGCCCCGCGTCAGGCTCTCTGCTGGTCAGGAGCCTGCTTCTCCTCTCCCTACCCCTCCCCTGCTACTTGTACTCTCTCTCTCTGTGTCAAATAAATAAATGAAATCTTAAACACACACACACACACACACACACACACACACACACACACTTCTTTAGATAAGGAAACTGAAACCCTTACATTTGAATCACTTGCAGGAACCAAACTAAACAGTCTAGAAGCCTGGAAGAGAATGTTGAATCCCTGAATTTTTCATCTGTCGCTGGACTGCTGGGTGTCTGGTTTGTCACTAGGAGTTTCTTAAATTTGTATTCAACCCAGTTCCAGGCAAGTCTCCTATACCACTAGCCACACAATTTGTTCTTAAAATTAACAGAAAACATTTTGAGTAAAATGAGCTTTCTTAGCTTGTGTCCTATTCTAAGATATCACACAGCTTATGAATGAATTACTTCTAGGGCTGAAAGGTATCTTCAAGAGGTATCTTTAAAAAAAAAAAAAAAAAAAAAAAAGCCATGTTATCATGGGGTCTGCTGTATCACCAATGAAACACCAGACTGCCGAATGAATGTTACAGAAGTCTGAAACAACTTCTATTTGAACAAATACAAACTTATTTAAAAACTGAACAAGGATTACCTTCCATGAACGCTTGTACTGTTTTGTCCACACAATTATCAAAGTGCTGCAAAACCAGGATGATTTCATTATTGCTCTTATTGGGAACTATTGCACGCACCGCATTTATCTGGAAAAGACAACAGGATCATTTAATTCTAGCATCAGTTAATCAGTTGGCAGCTGACGCCTAGTACAGAGAGTAATGGAAAAAATGGTATGTATCGCTCTTTAATGTCAGTGAGAGTACATACAACCATCTCACTGGAAATGACTAATAGATGAGTGATAACAGCCATAAGAAGTTAATTTCAAAACTCAGAAAAGCAGAACATTTCTAGAAATAGAAGATATGTGCTAGATTTTATTTCAAGAAAGGGTGGTTTAATTGGATACCAGGTATTAACTTAACATCAATATTTCCTCATCTTAGCCTACCATGGAGAAAGGTAGAAAGCTGAATGTGAGTAACAACTTACATTTTTCAGTAGTATTTTTCAAAACATTATTACTTCAAAAAAGAATTTTTTTATTTCGTAACACTGCATTGTATAATAACACTATGATTTATTATAAACTGTGTCAGGCATACAACACATAATGAACACTCACTACATGACAGTTGGTTTAATACAGTAAAGCAGACGGGCATTGAAGTCCCCATGAAGTCCCACATAAAACTCATCCCTCTCCTCTTCACAGAGATTTCTGCCTTGAATTTGGTATTATCTTGATACAGGTTTTTACACTTTTATGATGTATATATCCATAAGTAATATATACTATCGTTTTGCCTGACATAAATATATCATACATATCTATCTTCAATTTGTTTTTTTCACATAACATCCTTTTTTAGATGTTTTGTGTGTAGATAAACGCATCTCTTATTTATTTTAACTGCTACATAACATTTCCGTTGTATGAATATAGTCAGTTTATTCATTCTCCTGTTGATGGCCACTTACATTATTTCTAATGTTTGGCTATTATGAAAAATGCTGGAATGAACATTCCTTTGCTTATTTGCTGCTGAATCTTCAGTGCTTTTAACAATGTTTATCACATTGTAAGCAATTAAAGAAGAAAAAAAAATCACATCGGTGAAGAGTGAGAGAATGTCTCTATTGTGTATAATCACTAGAATTCTTGAATATTAGGGCATCTACAGATTCGTTATATAACACCAAGTTATTCTCTAAAATAGACATGCCAAGGAGTGCCTGGATGGCTCAGTTGGTTGAGTTGGAGGACTCCTGATTTCAGCTGGGGCTATGGTCTCAGGTCATGGGATCTAGGCCCTCCCAGCAGGCTTCACGCTCAATGGGGAGACTGATGGAGGTTCTCTCTCTCTCTCCCTCTCACTATACCCTTTCAACTGTTTGTGTATGCTCTCTCTAAAATAAAATAAATCTTTAAAAAATTTTTTTAAATAAAATAAAACAGAAATGCTAATTTTGCTGGATTTATTCCTAAGGTTTTCTTTTTAATTCAAGTATAATTAACATACAGTGTTGTATTAGTTACAATATAATGATTCAACAATTCTATACATTTTTTTTTAAGATTTTATTTATTTATTTGACAGACAGAGATCACAAGTAAGCAGAGAGGCAGGCAGAGAGGAGTGGGCGGTGGGGGGGCAGGGAAAGCAGGGTCCCTGCCTAGCAGAGAGCCCGATGTGGGGCTTGATCCCAGGACCCTGGGATCATGACCTGAGCTGAAGGCAGAGGCTTTAACCCACTGAGCCACCCAGGCGCCCCTCTATACATTTCTTAGTGCTCATCAAGATAAGTGTACTCTTAATACCTTTTATCTATTTCACCCATTCTCTCCCCCGGCCACCTTTGTTCTGGGAGCTTTGAGAATAACTGCATATTTTTTCATTTTTGTGTATCAATTTATTTATTTTTTAAAAGATTTTTATTTATTTATTTATTTAAGAGAGACACAGCAAGAGAGGGAACACAAGCAGGGGGAGTGGGAGAGGGAGAAGCAGGTTTCCTGCTGAGCAGGGAGCCCGATGTGGGGCTCAATCCTGGGACCCTGGGATCATGACCTAAGCCGAAGGCAGGCGCTTAAAGACTGAGCCACCCAGGTGCCCTTGTATATCAATTTAATATCCAGCAACTTTGATGAATTCTTGTAATGGCTCTTTTTGTTTGGGAGTAGTACTTAGAAACAAGATCTAAGAGCTGGGTGTGCTCATTGTTACTGGGAGTCATTATTTCTAGGTTTTTTTTTTTTTTTTAATAATTTTTTTTTTTAAGATTTTATTTATTTGACAGACAGAGATCACAAGTAGGCAGAGAGGCAGGCAGAGAGAGAGGAAGGGAAGCAGGCTCCCTGCTGAGCAGAGAGCCCGATGCGGGGCTCGATCCCAGGGTCCTGGGATC